TGGAAGAGATTAGTATTTGAATCAGAAAACTGAATAAAGGTCACCTTCACCAGTGCAGCTGTGCATCATCCAATCTCTTGATGGCCACGATAGAACAAAAAAGGCAGAGGAAGGAAGAATTTCCTCTCTGCTTGAGCTGGGACATGCATCTTCTCTTATCCTTGGACATTGCACTCCTGGCTCTTAGGCCTTCAAAACTTGGACTAGAATTTAATCTCAGAGTTCTCAGGCCTTCATGTTTGGATGGGAACCACACTGCAGGCTTTCCTGGACCTCCAGCATGCAAATGAAAGATCATGGGACTTCCCAGCCTCCATAATTGCATAAGGCAATCCCTTATAATAAATCTCTTTATATGACCCATTTAAAGTGGGAAATACTTGCCACCACATTTGTCCTCAGCTTTTGGTCTTAATTACGAATTTTAAAGTTTAAGGAAAAAATTCCAACTATAATACTGTTCATAAGGATCAGGATCATTCAGATGGTCACCACATTACCAAAAAAAAAAAAAAAAAAAGATTCTTTTTAAGTGTCCTACATCTGTTTTTGTGTCTAACAAGATAAATTGTCACAGATTATGATAGCTTTAAAAAGTAGGAAAAAAACCTTTGACCGTTTTCTCATCAAGAAACCAAGAGCTGGGGTCCATGCACCCTTGCTCTAAATCTGGGTAGAGTGTGTGTGTATGTATGTGTCTGTATATATATACACATATACACACATACGTAAATAGTTTTAAACTGTGCAGGTCCACTTATACATCATTTTTTTTTCCTGTAGTTACACTGAATGTGTCTGCCTGTCCTGCCTTTTCTTCTACCTCTTCTGACTCTTCTTTTGCCTCTCCAGCCTCTGAGACAGCAAGACCAGCTCTTCTCAGTCTACTCAATATGAAGGCAACAAGGTTAAAGACCTTTGTGATGATCCACTTCCACTTAATGAATAGTAAGTATGTTTTCTCTTCCTTATGATCTTCTTAACATTTGCTTTTTTCTTGATTACTTCATCATAAAAATACAGTAAATAATCCATATAACACACAGCATGTGTTAATTGACTGTTTATGTTGTGTTAAGTCTTCCAGTCAACAGTAGGCTATTAGTCAAGCCTTTGGGGAATCAAAAGTTCTACATGGATTTTTGACTGTGTAGAGGGTCAGTCCCCTTAACCCCTGCATTCAAGGGTCAACTGCATATCCTGTTGGTTCTATATCTCTAGAGAACTCTGACTAATTCAAGAACCCACTGTTAAGAGTCAATATAAATCAGCCTCCCCAAGGAAAAGCACAAAGGTGAGAAGGATAGAGAGTGGATACAGGAATATGAAAGAACAAAAATTATACAGACTTTAAACTCATACTTCAATGACATTCTATTGCTTTGACCTGTTTTCATGAGTATTTTTCCACTGGACTATGTATGACCCTGACATTGTTATCTCCCTATTCTCTGCACTTGGCAACAGGTTTGGACTTTCAATTTACTTCTCTTAATTAGTATTTGAGTTAATAAATTAAGTTAATGAATTAGCAGGAGAATGACATGGATATGCAAAGATATGTTCTTGAATGTTCTTCAATTTTTATTATAATGACTTTTCCTTATATTTACTTTATTTCCACCTTTTGAAATCCAATTCTTTTTTTTTCTATATTAAGTTCTTGTGATTTTTTTTTCCTAAGCAAAGCAGTTGTTTGTATTGTAATTTTATTTGTTTTAATCTTGTTAATGAGATTTTAGTTATTAGGCCAGCTAGAATTACATCTTATAACAAAGATTGTTTTAATCTATTTTATTTTTGCATACACGATTGTGGAGCAATTTAAATTATAAAATAGAACACATTTGTGGCACATTGTTTAAAATTTTCCTTTCAGCTTTGTACTGATTTTCTAAATTCCTTTACACTATTTGTATGGATCTTGTCAATCAAATCTATTCTGTATAAGAGATTAATAGCGGAATGCTACATTATAAGCCTTCCAGTTTCCTTGAATGATTTTTAGTATTCTGTAACACTTTTTTGTAATTAAGATTTAAATACCCAATTCCTCAAGACTTGCCATACAGAGAGCTGTCAATCAAGGAATTGGCAGGCTCTATGAACTGCATGATGAAGTCTTTATCCCTACTCTGATGCCTTCAAGACCAGCTTTTGCGAGCTGATCCTTCATTTCACATGTCTTAGAACTCACTCACACTTCTTATGCTTGGAAATGAAACACACAAAGTGACAACGTAATCCACAGCTAATAAGTTAGCGGCTATAAAAATGAACATCCACATTAACTTGCCAAGCATGGAGAATAGAGGTGTTACACTGCACTCGTGTATATATGTCTGCCAGGGCAATAGTACATATGCCTTTGGAGATGCTTCTAAGTTATGCAGAGAAGCCGACAATAATTCTTGAACTTTGTTATCAGGATCCAGTTTCATTTAAGAGCCAAACCAACAGCATCAAAACACTTGGCCATGATTAGCCACAATCCAGCAGGTGAGAAAAGCATGCAAAACTAGCCACTGGGTTATAAATTTTGCGGAAATAAAGCTATCTCAGTACACTCTCTTGCGCCCTGGTTTACAGTATATACTTTCACTGGAAAAGTAACAGTAATAAAGAAATTCTATCTTTTGTCTGCATGTCTCTTAATTCATTACATAGTAAAATAAAGCAGATAGTTACTATCATTATTTAGAGAAAAAAATGTAGTCTAAAATTTATATAATGAGTCCCCATGCATAAAAATACAACTCTAATTTATATATTTTATTTCCATTTAAAATATAAAATTGTAAGAGTATTTTTAATTACAATGATATTTAAGATAATGCACTGTAAAATTAAGTAGTAACCTAAAATTTGAACCCTACACCATGAAACAGAGCTCGGCCTATTGAAATCTTTTTTGTGGGGGTGGAGGGGAACGGAGTCTCACTCTGTTGCCCAGGCTGGAGTGCAATGGAATGATCTCAACTCATTGCAACCTCTGCCTCCCAGGTTCAAGCAATTCTCCTGCCTCAGTTTCCCCAGTAGCTGGAATTACAGGCATGTGCCATCATGCCTGTCTAATTTTTGTATTTTTAGTACAGACAGGGTTTCACCAGGTTAGCCAGGCTAGTCTTGAACTCCTGACCTCAGATGATCCACCCACCTCAGCCTTCCAAAGTGCTGAGATTACAGGTGTGAGCCACTGCACCCAGACTTGAAATCTAATTTTAAGTTTACTTATCCTGTTCAGAAGGATGGGATATTTGACACACAATGCTTTAAACATTTATAAGTTATTTATCAATACATATTATTTTAATGTATTATATGTATGAATATTGTATTTAATTAAATTATCTTAATGTTTTAATTGAATTATCTTAGTTTTTTTTTTCTTCAATATGATTTTTTAAATTATGTAGGCTTGTAATCACATAAATGATAGAGGAGCGTCTCGAGCTCACTGACATGGTGAGCAAAGAAGTCAGTTAAGTGGTAGCAGAGCTGTGCGTTGGCAAGGAGAGGAGCCAGCATCTTTGAGTGCCTATCATGGCACACGTTTAACATTGCTTACTTTAGTGCTCACAAGAACTCCACCAGGAGGACATCTTTTGTACTGTACCGATTTATATTTTGAGATTCAGGAAGATTGGATAAATTACTCAAATTGACTGAGCTGACAAATTGTAAAGCCAGGTCTAATTAAAAAGTTATTCTTTTTATTATTTCATGTAATCATCCAATATACAGAAAGTAAAGCAGACTGTAATCCTTCAAAAATAGGAGCTCTGCTCAAAGCACTGTTGTGTATTTTCTATGCCTGTCCATATTCATTCATTCATTCATTTGCTCATTCAACAAGCCTGCATTCAGTGACTTCTCTGAGCTAAGCAATGTGCTAGGCCTTGGGAATACAGTGGTGATATTTTCAGACTGCAGAGAATTGCAGAAAAGTAAAAAGACAGTGAAGTTTAGTATAATTAGTGCTAAAGGAAGAGAGAAGTAAAGGTACCAGGGACACTCAGATTTTCCAGATCTAGGAAGGCAACTTGAAGGAAGTAGCATTTAAGCAGAAGCTTTACAAACAAATAGGGGCTATACAGGTCCAGGAATTGGGAGTGCTCGCAGGGACAGTGTTCCTGAAAGAGGATTCTGAATAAGCAAAGGCCTGGATTGAAGGACGGGTCAGGACCAAGAAGGTGGCAGGGAGTGGAGGCAATGTTGCGGAGGAATTTACAGACATGTTCAAGGGATTGGAAACAAAAGAATCCCACTTGCATTTGAGGACAGTCTCACGAAGCAGAGTACAGAGAATTGATGGAGCAGTAGGAAATGAGGTATGCAAGGAGCCTGGAGTCAGCAGGCTAGATAAGAGAAGTGCTGGTAACCTACAGCCCTATGTAGCAGTAGGGACTGGATATGGGAAGGCCGAGTCTTGGGACTGGATGTGACGGAGGGAGAACACAGTGTAGGCTGCTAGGAAGATTTGTTAACACGCCTCAGAAATACTGCAAGGAAAACACTGAAACAACTGATACAGCTAAAATCCTATCACATGGAACTCCATGGGGAAACAATTCTGTTTTTGTTTTTTCCTTGAGATGGAGTATCATTCTGTCGCTCAGGCTGGAGTACAGTGGTGTGATCTTGGCTCACTGCAACCTCTGTCTCCCAAGTTCAAGTGATTCTCCTGCTTCAGCCTCCCAAGTAGCTAGCATTAAAGGTGTGTACCACCACACCCAGCTAATTTTTGTATTTTTAGTAAAGATAGGGTTTCACCATGTTAGCCAGACTGGTCTCGAACTCCTGACCTTAAGTGATCCACCCATCTCAGCCTGTCAAAGTGCTGGGATTACAAGTGTGAGCCACCACACCTGGCCATGGAAACAATTCTAAATGACCACTCCCCAGTGGTGGAAATAAAGATTTCCCATGAGTGCTAAAGTACAACTCTTCCATTGAAAAAGCAAAAAAAACCAAAAACTGCAGCATCCGGGGGTAAAATCTCTAGTAATGAAGTAATCGAGCATTTTAAGATATTTATCTTTGAAGTTGGTGGGGGGGGTGTCTCAATTTGGCACCCTGGGATTGACAGAGGGGAAATCCAGTCTTTTCTCTCAGGTAAAGATGTAGTCATTCCGATTTTGCATTTTCTTGCTTCCCACAGGATGCAATGTACCCCTAGATTAGTGAGGGTGTTAGGTGTCTCCTTATGTTTATGCTGCACAATGCCATCAGCTACTAATTAGTTCCTTTATTAATAAGACTGTCTATGAGATATTCACAGACTGGGGTAAAGCATTCACTGTTTTGGATAATTCAGAGTTGTAAATTATTACTGTACCTGGGACCAAAATATAAACGGGGGAGGGATGACTTCTGGACATTAGCCAGAACTTTTCCAAAACAAAAATATTTCATATATTTCTTCGAGTTCTCATTGTAACAGTCAACCAAAATTATTATCAGCCATATTTCGTTAATTTTACGTTAGCACTTTTTATTCATATGCAAGGTAGTTTTAATTTTTTTTTACAGTATTTCTTATTAAAATATTGCAGTGGACTAAATATTTGTATTCCCTCAAATTTATGTTGAGACACTCATCTCAATGTGCTGGTATTTGGAGATGGGACGTTTAGGAGGAAAACAGATCATGAAGGGGGAGCCCTCATGAATGGGATTAGTACCCTTCTAAGAAGAAGCCAGAGAGCTAACCTGCTTCATTTCTGCCACATGATGATACAAGGAGAAGCCTTCAGTCTGCAATTTTGAATAGGATCCTCATCAGAGCCAGAGCAGGTGGGCACCCTGACTTCAGATTTCCAGCTTCCAGACTGTGAGAAATAAATTTCTGTGGTTTATAAGCCTCCTGATACATAGTACTTTGTTATAACAGCCTGAACTGACTAAGACAAATGTATAGACTTCAGGAAGATAAAAGAAGAGTTCCTAAATCGCTATGCAGTTTGCCTCTGACTCATATAACATAGTTAAGAGTTGTTTTATAAAATGTTATTGACTCCAGGGCTTAGGGTAAACTAATATTAATACATTTGTTTATATCAGTTACCATAATTACAGGGCTTCTATTTAATTACTGGGTACAAGATAACATAATTGTGTCATCAATGACCCGTTTATTATGGTATTTTTATAGCTGTATCTAAAACAGTTTTGAGTGTATCTTCTTAAGTGTACTACGCCAGTATTCCAATGTCAATTTAATATTTGACATAATATATACTGTATTGTTTTATGAATAAACCTTAGCATATTAGGTTGCATTATATTAAATATTTATTTTTGTAGCTCTAAAATGGTCAAAGAACAGCAGTTTCATATGGTTCATATCTAATCTTTCCACGCAGTTTTTTATCCCTTTCCATTATCAGGAACTACTGCCACCCAATCATTAAGTAAAATGCCAAAAGCAAGTAACATCCGTGTAGTATATATCCTATAGATTATCCCCAATGTTATATTTTAACTCTCGTTAAAAGTAGTTCACCAATTCCTAAAAATTAACTTCACACGGGGTGGCTGGGTGGATTAGAGGTCCAGAAATATGACTGTGTATATGCTTAAGACTTTATGATTTTCTCTAGAAGAATGAAGTTTGGTCATTTTACAGTAAATTCTCTGTTTGAATAAAATTGCAAAGGGCAATTGCTGAACAGGAATGTCCTACTTACTAACCAATGCCTTTCAAAAACAGAGAAAAAAATGCTACTGAAAATTGTCCACCAGCAATACGGAAGTAATACATATAAGGAAAAAAAAAAAAAAAAAAACAGAATCTTCTTTGGAAAATAGGAAGATCCATGGATTTTCATTTGAGAACCTCGTTTGTCCAGATTTTGTTTCACACCCCTCAAAAATGAGAATCCTTTGGTCACTTCCCTCTCAAAGCAGCTGGAAGGCCTGGCGAGCACAGCAGGACCACGGAGGTAGAGATGCTGGCACGCTCACCCTTGCACTGCTGAGATCCAAGAAAGCGGTCACATCTGCTGAGGGCAGAGGTCTCTGAGGGGCTAAGGGATGCCACGCCTTGACACTGTTGCTAGAATACCAGGTGTTTCACAAAATCTTTGGGTAGAAACTCTTGCCATTTATACCTTTTATGAATTATATTTATATGAAACTCTACACTTGTTTAGCAATAGAAGTAGCTTGAATTTCTAGATTTGTTCTATCCATATGTGCATTCTCAGTCCTTGAAAGCCCTGAGAAAGAAAAAATAGTTTATAAATACAAATTAGAAGAGGTGGTCCTTGCCCATAAAGGGTGTATATTCCACTTGGACAGAAAAGATGAATATACATGAAAGAATTACAGAATACATCTACTTACACAATTCCCCTCTTGCCTAAGGGCATTCATTATTACAATACACTTATATAGCACCTCCTTTCCAATAGCCCAAACACCGGCTGTGGAACAAACTGCTGAATAAATACTTGTCACAATCCCCTTTTAACAAGTGAGTCCATCTGGAAAACCAATTCAGGTCCTTCATTCTAATCAAAAACTCTTCTGATTTGGGGATCTACTTTAATCTTTTTTATAATAGGGCAATACTTCAGAAATTAAGAAAATAAAGCTGGTAAAAAAATTATTCTAATGACAACTTTATTCTCATTCATTAAACATATCTTATGCCCTTTGGATAGTGTTTTAAATATTCTTTATACCTCTTTAGCATTTACATTATTTGCAAAGTGCTGCTCAAAAAAAGACACTGAGGCCTGGCGAGTTGGCTCACGCCTGTCATCCCAGCACTTTGTGAGGCCGAGGCAGGAGGATCGCGCAGTCAGGAGTTTGAGACCAGCCTGGCTGACATGGTGAAACTCCATCTCTACTAAAAATACAAAAATTAGCCTGGCATGGTGTCACATGCCTATAATCCCAGCTACTCAGGAGGCTGAGGCAGGCAAATTGCTTGAACTAGGACCCGGGAAGCAGAGGTTGCAGTGAGCCGAGTTGGTGCCACTGCACTCCCACCTGAGCTAAGAATGAGACTCAATCTCAAAAAAAAAAAAAAAAAAAAAAAAAAAGGCACTGAGGCAGAGCCTGAAGAAACAACTCGCCCAGGTTACAGAGCAGTAGGGACCACGAGTCCATGTTCCATCTACTACACCAGCATGTCTCTCAACGTGTCAGTTGCTAGAGAAGCCAGAGAGCAGAACATGAGAATTGTTTGCATGTCCATGAAAGCCTGACCTACCCTTCCCACCCAAAGTTGTCAGTTTCTAGAAAAAATCTACAACATAATTTTTTAATTTGCAGGGAATTTTAAGTGCTCATTTAGAAAAGAAAAATGCACAATACACCAACCCCCCAGGATTTACCATTATTCCTTCCTCTGCCTGGGTCACATGCAACTGAGGATACTCTTTTCTAATGTTTTGCTGAAGCTGGGGCTGTCTTGTCCCTGGTAAAGTTGTGCTCTTTCCCTGCTTCAGATCTTCAGGGGGCCTCCAGGCCCTGTTGCACATCCCTGTTCTCTGTGAGGCCAGTGACCATCTGCTCACCATCCTTCAAACCAAAGCCCATTCATGTACAGCCCTTTGGGCCACTGGAATATTGACACCCAGTTTTTTCCTCTTGAAACTCAATTGCAATATATTTTTAGTTCTGTGGATCATATTTTTCGACACTTGAGTCATTTTTGTGTCTCTGCTTATTTTCCTCCTATTTCTCCATGTTGTGTAATATTCCTTTGAGTTATCTTTTCCCAAGGAACTCAAAGAACTTGATGATTCAGCCCTCCTCCCACACACCGCGTGAGGCAGGAGATTCTCCCCCTTGCTTTTCTGAGGTTCAAAACTGGCTCAGGTGCAGCTCTATTTTTCCAGCTGTCAAGCAGCAGCTGACCAGATTTTTTTCTAAGCACTAAAAATTGACATGCAGCAAAGTGTGCTGTGGTATGGTGGGGTGAACACAGGGTCTCAGAAGAGCACTAAGGCAAAACAAAATCATGGAACTCTCATAGTAGCAAAGACCCTATGCAGAGAGACAAACTTAGCAATTTTCTTATGTGCCAGGTTCCAAGCTAGCTGCTAGAAATAAATGGAATAAAGCCCAATCCCTGCCCATCAGGAAGGAAAGACACAAATGAGTCAGCATTTATTCACTCAATAATAAGCAATTATTATGTGCCAGACATTATTCTATACCCCAGGAGTACATCAGTGAAAAACAGAGCCAAAATCCTTGAATATTACTGGATAATGGTAGATAATTACAGGGCCCTGGAGTCAGGCCTCCTAGGTTAAAATACTGGCTGTGTAATACTGAGAAGAGTATGTACCTTTCTGACCTCAATTTCCTCATCTGCAAAGCAGGGATGATAATGGTACTTCTGCATGGAACTGTTACGAGGACTAAATCAACAATTACAAGTAAAGAGCTCACAGGAATGTCCAGCACCTAGCATGGGGTTCATGAATCTTAGCAATTTTTACATTAGATAACTGCATTGCAGAGTGATGAGTGCTTTGTTAAAAAGCAGTGAGGCACAAGGCTTTTTGGGAGCACAGAGCCGTGCACCTTGCTAGGGCAGTGTGTAGGCAAAGCTTCTTGGACAAGATGGCACTGTAGTTGCAATCATTGACTAGGACCTTAGCTAAATGAAAAAGTGAACGAACTCCAAGCAGAGGGAACGTTGCGTTTGAAGTTTCAAAAGCAAAGGAGAGAGCAAAACAGAGATTGCATTTCAATTCTTAGAAATGCATGCATGTAGCTTAGAATGTAGGTGGTGTGAGGTTGGGGAGGAGCCATGAGAAGGACGGCTAAGCAGGGACCAGAACAGGATAAGGGATTTGGATTTGATCCTGCAGCAGGGGAAGCCACTAATTTTAAGCAGGAAAGTAATAGAGGCTGCCATGGAGAAAAATGACAAGGGGAAAGGCTAGTTAGGCAGGCTGGGCAATGACCTGGTCTGGAAGAGAAGAAGGCCTGAGCAAAAGTGAAAGAGCGAGCATAGAGAGATGTGGACAAAGAAAAGGGAGATTAGGTTTTTATCCTTCGACCTATATCTTCCCATTTTCTCCCCATCCCCAACCCTGGTCACCACTGTTTAAGTCTCTATCTCTGTATATTGCATGCTGTCACTTATATATGAAATCTTCAATGAAATATGGTTAGAATAGATAAAGTTTGTTAGCAGAGAAAGAGAGAACGAGATCGGGCCTTTGGAGGGGGACTGGTTGGAAGGAAATACTACAGATAGGGATTCTTGGCATAGAAGAGACTTTGAAAAAGAGATGGCAAGACCTAGGAAGGAAACAGGACACTTATAGGATAGAGCCAGAAGGACCACTACACTCTGAACGTCAGATCCATAGCCCAGTGGATTAATGTGGCCTCCAGGAATTCTAATCTCCTTCCTCAGCTTCTTCTGAAAAATGCTTAAGTGGGGTTGGGGGTGGGGGCAATAAAGCCTAATTTTCTCAGACTTAGTCTTGCTCATCTTTGCTAGCTTCCTGAGTTTTGCTAGCAAGCTCAGATGGATTAACAACTGTAAACTGGGTTGTAAACTGTAATTCTGGAGAGGATCCTGACTTGTTCAACTTAATATTCTCAGGACATTTCCCGGCATAGTAACTTCTCAGTATGAGTCATCCTTCAGCTTCTCCTGATATCACTTTTGGTTTATCTGCCAACATACTAATGCTAATACTCTAGTGGATATATCAGAAAGTCTTACATAAATATATACAAATATTTCTAATGAAATACTCAAAAAGTAAACATTTGAGCACGGATTTTTTTCCTGGTCCCCATCAAAGTAAAGCATTCAACAGCATTTTTATGTGGGATTTCTTTTGAGAAACTTTGGCTAGGTCTTTTACTAACTTCCTGTATTTTCAAGCACCTTTGAATATTAAGGCTACTGCAGTCAAATAGCAGAGACACATCATCTGAGTTATTAAAATAGTATGGCTGAAAACGGTAAGATAAAGAATGCTAACACAGCTGTAGGGTTGGTTGAAGACAACAGAGATGGATGAATGAGACATGTTTGTTGCCAAAACACTGGCGTGGAACAATTATTATCAGTGATGTCTTAAATGTGTAAGGCCTTCCATGGCTGCATCCCTATTCTGCATCATGGAAATAAATGAAAACCACCCAAATGAGAACAAACAAGATTATTTTTTCAACGTTTACTGTAGCAAGGGAGTCAGTCACCACCACTTAGCAAGTAGCAGAGATTCAAAGGCAGGCAGGGCAAGGGGAAAGCTTTATAGAAAAAAACAGGAAAGGCTTCAGGTGTGCTCTGATCAAAGCCTGTTGGCGTAAGAAACAGGAGGTAGGCTAACTAAAAGCAGGACATCTGACAAGATTGGTGTGGGGAGCATAGAAATACTTTTCTGGTTGGTCCTGAATTAGAAGCAAAATTTACAATCCTGACTGTTCTGGGGTGATTAAAATAGAGGTTGTGGGGCAGAGTCCAATTGTCATGTATAGTCTGGCCACTGACTTTTTGCATATTCATATTCAGTCTTTCAGCACTAAGATGAGGCCAGGCGTAGTGTCTCATGTCTGTAATCCCAGCACTTTGGGAGGCCAACGTGGGCGGATCACTTGAGGTCAAGAGTTTGAGGCCAGCCTGGTCAACATGATGAAACCCTGTCTCTACTAAATAAAAATTAGCTGGGTGTAGTGGGAAATGCCTGTAATCCCAGGTATTCAGGAGGCTGAGGCAAGAGAATCACTTGAACCTGGGAGGTGGAGGTTGCAGTCAGCCTAGATAGTGCCACTGCACTCCAGCCTGGGCAACAGGGCAAGCCTCTGTCTCAAAAAAAAAGAAAAAAAAAAAGAAAAGAAAATATTTCAGATGTGAGCTTTCCCAGAATGAATTCAGTATTTCTATCATGTGCTGGAAGCAGTACTCTAAAAGAGCAGTGATACTCAGCTGATCCTGAGTCACTGACACGCTCATGCTTGAAGTGCATGTCTCCAGAGCATGCATTCTGAATGAGGGCAATATTGCCCCAGAGGGAATGAAAACTGGTTATTGAGGGCAAAAGCAACACTCTTCCTACAAATGAAGCACAGAAAAAAAAAAAGTATATATATATATATTCCAGATAGTGCATAAACACAAATACAATATAGTATATCTGTGGTATTAAAATTTCATGGAGGATGAGTGGGAGAAAAAAAGTCTAAAATATGCTTAGGTCAGGGAAGTCAGTGTAGAGAATTAAAAAAAAAAAAAAAAAAGCAACCCTGAGAAACAGGCTGCAGAACCTATGTAAATATTTCCATCCAAAACTATATTTTTCAGCCAAGGAGCCAAACAGCATCTGACCATTCTCATTGGACTGCATTTACCTTGTAATTTCTGGCTTTCCAAACATCTTTCCAGTTCGTTCTGTTTCTATTTGAAGGACTAAAACTATTGTCGTTTCTTCTCTCAAAGCATGAGGAATCTCACCAGGATGAAGGCATTCACATACACTATAGCAAAAGCTACTATGCGGTGTCACTAGGAAGACCCAACTTTCTATGTAGTTATTGTTTTCCCTCTTATATTTCCTTTATGAAGAACAATTCAAGGAGCAGAAACAAGATCCCAGTTCAAAAGAGATATGATGTTAGTAGTTAAGTCATACTCTGCCATCTTGCCAAGGAAAAGGGAGTCCTACATGAATAATTTGAAGTTCTATATTTAATTCACTAAAATTACATTATAAGCTTTAGATTACTCTGGTTAAAACTATACACTGAAAAATGGTTAAGATGGTAAATGTTATGTGTATTTCATCACGATTTAAAAAAAAAAGATGAGGGATCCAAGATGGCCAAT